TAACAATTGGATCCTCAACTGCAACATGTGAAAGAGTTTTTTCTGCTCCGACAAATGTGCTTACTGACCTCCATCAGTCGATATCTCATGAAAAACTGGCGAACTTAATCCTCATAGGGTTTGAGAAGTGCATCCTTGATGTCAGAGTGTTGATAGGAAGCATAAGATATTGGGAGACTTCAATTATATTCAGAATTAATTACAAGGATTTACAGTTGTTTTACAGTTTTACAGCGATTACAGTTGTTTTAATAACAAAATTTGGACTTGGTTTAAATTGCTTTAATTAATTAATTACAAGGGTCCAATCAACTTTCCCTGAGACTGACTCGTGCTTTCTGTTTTGATTAACCTATCAGTTCATACCTAACTTAAGCTCTTGTTGTCGGATATCAAAGATTTTTTCATGAGTGAATTCGCTTATGAATTAATAAGGAACATCAATAAATGATAACAAAAATTGATAACGAAAAACTGAAAATGATTACAATGTACTCGCGCCCTTTGAGTTTGTCACTGCGCCCTTAATGTGTGCGTCCTGGCTACGACACTGGGTGGAGGTTGGGAGTAACATATAATAAATTCCACTTTAAAGATTTTTAGAACTTTTAAGGTTAGAGAATGGTAGGCATTATTTATCGAAATATACATCGTTTGGGTGGCTTAATTCTATTTTATTTCTACTTTTAACTTCATTACATCTTTTTAAGGGTAACTGCCTTCCCACAACTGGTTGCAGACAGTGAAAGGCAGTAAGAGTTGAGACATTGTGGGTGTAAGCACTCAACTCTGTACCCTTATTGAATTTTCCACGACTGCTGACTGATTTCTCATCTGCTTTTTGGATTTTGTCGGATAGATGGGATATCCCCAACGCTTTTGGTTGCTATTACCACAGGCCATCTCCGTTATGCCTTTTGGATAATGACCGGAAAGTGCAAAGGTTTTTTTTTAATAGAGTTTTGAATTTATATTAAGTTCTTTATTGTTTTATAGTGCTAATCTTGACCGCCTATTGACAATTAATGTAATTGATATAATAGGTTTTAAGCTATACCTCTTATTATATATTTATATATATAGAGAGAGAGATACATATATATATATAGATTAATAAATCCTTTAATTAAACAAAGACTGAACTCCGTCTGTTTACATTTTGTCTGCTACTTATAATATATATAAATTAATAAATCCCTTAATTAAACAAAGACTGAACTTTGTTTACATTTTGTCTGCTACTTATAATATATATAAATTAATAAATCATTTAATTAAACAAAGACTAAACTTTGTTTGTTTATATTTTGTCTGCTACTTATAATATATATAAATTAATAAATCATTTAATTAAACAAAGACTAAACTTTGTTTGTTTATATTTTGTCTGCTACTTATAATATATATAAATTAATAAATCATTTAATTAAACAAAGACTGAACTTTGTTTACATTTTGTCTGCTACTTATAATATATATAGATTAATAAATCCTTTAATTAAACAAAGACTGAACTTTGATTACATTTTGTCTCCTACTTATAATATGTATGATTAATAAATCCTTTAATTAAACAAAGACTGAACTTTGTTTGTTTACATTTTGTCTGCTACTTATAATATGTATTAAACTATTAGGAACAAAAATTCTTACTTCTCGTATTTCAACTTTTTATTTTTATTTTTAAATCTTTGCATTTCAGAAAATCCAGCATATGAAATTTTTAAGTTGCGAATTATCTACCATAAAATTAATTTTTTGCTCTCGTGGAATTCAGATATTTACTTAGTTTTGATTATTTAAACTTTTAATTATATGTCTCATATTACATAAGGTTCAAAATCTGGAGGCTTCACAATTCCTTCTGAAATTTCAACTCCCCACAAATGAGAGTTTAACTCTTTCTATTCTTTTGAATATTTTATGTTCTAACTCATTGTGAAACACATTCTCTAGTTGGCTAACTCGTTGAAATATTGACTTTCCAGTTGTCTTACTTCCCTGAAATATTGGTTACTTAGCTTTCTTCAGTTTCCTCACTCCCAGGAATATTGGTTTTCCAGTTCTCTTGATCCCAGAGAAATTTACTTTTCAATTATTGATATTTTAGTTGGCTGACGTTCTGAAATACTGACTTTTCAAGTTGTCTTATTCCCTGAAGTCATGACTTTTTTAGTTATCTTAAGCACTTAAATACTAAAATACTGTTTTTATAGCTCAAGAGGCTAGTGACTTACGCTTTGATACCTAATTTTATCTTTTATATCTATGATACTGAAAGTATAGTTTTATATCCTGGGATATTGATTTTCTATTTGTCATATTTCATAGTTTTTGGCGACAAGATATTCTAAATCACTTAATCTCTACGATTCGGATCCTGTAGGTGGGAAGCAACATGTGTATCATAATCCGTAGTAATTAATTATTTTGAGACATTACGTCTATGCATTTTGTTATATAAATTTTTCAATTTCCATTATTCAGATTCTTTATACGTTATACTTTCTAGGATATCGTATTTCTACTCCATTGGATTCTGATGATATACTTCACCTATTATCCATGAATTATATTCTCTACTATTAATAGTATATAGGTCATAATATTTAATAAATGTCTTTTCTCGGTGTCATACTCCCAAGGAGTTTAATTCATTAGTTGTCATATTATCCCTAAATTATAGTATTGATATGTTCTATACTTATGTTCCATGATGTCTAAGATACAATTTTTCTATGTGTCACCCTTTCTTGGATTCGAATGTTGAAAGTGTTTTGTTCTAAGTGTGTGTCATGTTTACAGTATTCACATTTTAGTATACACCTCAAAAGGCTTAGATACTGTACAATCTAGATTTCTTATTGACTTACCGTTTGCCTCATCATTATGCATTCTATCCAAATCGAACTCTCGTAGTAACGACGTTTTGTTTACGCTCTGAAATAAACAAAGAATGTTCAAAGACGAAAAGAAATATTTACACTACTAGAAAAAGAGAGTTAGTATCAATACGTACGTAGAAAACTCCATAAAGGCACAATGTTCTCTTGATAAATGAGTTTGTGCAAACGTTTAATAATATAATGTGTAAAGTGTAACCTTTTGCATTTGCAAACATCCAATCAAAAGAAAAAATATATAATACTCAAAATTACTGGTATTTTTTATTTATATAAATCTGTTTTATCAGGACTTTTTACCTTAAATACAACATTTTTATTAATATATAAAGTAATGTTTAAATCATAGAGTAATAACAACCTTGAAATGTTTCATTAAGTTGGAGTTCAAGAAGTTTACAATTCAACGACTCAACCTATAACTTAAAAACTTGGTTCACAAGTCTAAAGAAGTTACATAAGGTCGTCCAAATTGGTTCTCACACTTAGAGCAGTTGCATAAACTCAGATAAAACAATCGAAAGCTTAAACCAGTTCACTCACGAGTGACGCGGTTTTTGATGTGACCATACTAATTTAGTTTATGTAATTGTTATGTAATCAAATAGCGTTTTAATAAATCTGCATTCGTAATGAAGATTACTTGTTAAGAATGGAATCTTACATGTATACTGACAATAATAAAAAATCAATAGTTTTATTTTTCATTTGACGTACCTTAGAGTCCTGGAGTTTATGAGCAGAAACAGGTCCTACTTTTTCCCCGTGTGAGTCTTTGATTGTAGTTGGGAAGTCATTTTCCATGATTCCTTTACGACAAATCCGGGAGGCGTCGTCCACGATTTCTGCACGAAGAGTTCGGGGTACGCCCAAGAATCTTGCAGGAGAATATCGGAATTCATTGACGATAAGATGATAAGACGAGGAGACGTCGTCGTCTTCATCCTCGTCATCTGGATAAGCGATTCCTTTAAACGTTGGGGAATCGTCGTCATCGTCATCAGAATAAGCGATTCTTTATTAACCGGGAGTCGTCCTCATCATCCTCGTCGTCATCCTCATCGTCCGAATAAGCAATTCTTTTATAAGTCGGGAATTAGTCGTCATCGTCGTGCTTGTAATCCTCATCGTCCTCATCATCCTCATCGTCTGGATAAATTATTCCTCTATAAATTGTGGAATCGTTTTCATCGTCCGTATAAGCGTGTTTTTTATAAGTCTGGAAGTGGTTGTTATCGTCGTGCTTGTAATCCACATCGTCCGGATAAATTATTCCTCTATAAATTGTGGAATCGTTTTCATCGTCCTCGTCGTCCGTATAAGCGTGTTTTTTATAAGTCGGGAAGTGGTTGTTATCGTCGTGCTTGTAATCCACATCGTCCGGATAAATTATTCCTCTATAAATTGTGGAATCGTTTTCATCGTCCTCGTCGTCCGTATAAGCATTTTTTGTATAAGTTAGGGAGTTGTCGAACACGATTCCTTTACGATAAGTCCGAGAGTCGTTGTACATATTAAATTATTTGGACTCAGTTGAATTTTACCTATTGACATAAAGATTATAAAAACAGTATAAAGTTAATCTATATTCGCATAAATACTTACGTTAACAATACTCTAGAAAACTACGAAAGGTTTTTAATTATTTACTATATGGTGTTAATTTACGTTACGCGTTAATAAGTCTAACCCCCCCCCCCCCAGTGGCACAGCGGTATGTCTGCGGATTTACGACCCTAGAAACAGGATTTCGATACCCGTGGTGGGCAGAGCACAGTTACCCCATTGTGTAGCTTTGTGCTTAATTACAAACAAACAAACCAATCTAAATCAAACAGCGCTTCGATAACAAGTCTGTACCGTTTCGGAATAAATTCTCAATATTATTTTTCACTTCTTTTCTGCGAGCAGTATTACCCATCTTTCACTCAGTTCAACAATGTATTTTCGACCAACGTAATTACACGATTTTAAACAAAATTGTTTCCAGTGGCTATTTTAGAAATATGATCCCTTACAATTCTATGCGTTATCGTAATAACGCTAACTAAAACTAACTCACAGTGATATTTAGTCAAGTCTCAAATTACGACTGATTTGACCTGACATGACCTAGTGGTTAGGACGCTCGACTCACAATCTGCGGATCGCGGGTTCAAAACCCCATCTCGCAGAACATGCTCGCCCTTTCAGCCGTAGGGGCAATATAATATGATAGTCAATCCCACTGTTCGTTGGTAAAATATTTGACGGTGACTAGTGCTGACTAACTGCTTTCTCTCTAGTCTATCATTGCTAAATTAGGGATAGCTAACGTACATAGCGTACATAACGTACATGGCGATGTTTCAAACAAATTAAACCAAACGACTGACACAGTGATAATAAAACTACGCTACTTACGCCTGAAACTTAAAATAGAAGGTAAAGTGCAATTTCAAAGAATTACTCATGCCTTAAAAACTGCTTTTGTATTATGTAATTAGTTTCTGTAACTTAAGATGTTTCTGCAATAAAAGATGCAAAAATATACAAGCAGAGAAAGTAACTCAAGTCGACATGCTTACCTGTGAATATCAAACTTAATTTGATTCTCGAGTCAAAGTGACGTTCTCTGAGAGAATGGCTTGATAACAATCTTTAAGTACAAAGTACCAAAAGTACAGGCAAAGATAAGGGTCTGAGTTATTGGATGTTTCAAACCGAAACTCAGTTACTTTAACTTTTACAGTTCTTTAAACTAATATGCTGAAAATAAATAGCATGAGATTCGCTAAATAAAACTAAAAATAACTCATTGCAATGGATATTGAATTTGCAATGAACAACCTTGCGGAAACAATTGATATTTGGAAATAATGTATAATAAACTCTTAGTAGTTAGTCCATTGTGTAAGGAACTGGATGAGATATGGTGGCTAGCGTTCCAGATTGTAGATCTGAGGGTCCGTGGTTCGTGTTCCGTTACAACAAATTTGTAGTTTCAGGCCATGAGTACGTTATTAAAGTGACTGTCAAATCCACAATTTGACTAGATTGCCCTAAGGGTTGGTGCTGGGTGCTGTTAAATAGCTACCTTCCCATGTTGTTTTTTAAACGTAATTATTTTAAAAGCATCAGTTAAGACAAATTTCGTTACGTAATTCTGTACGTGTGGTTCGTTGTTATACTAGGCTTTTGTAATATTGTTGACGTCATCTTACTCGAAGCTTCTAAGTTTTTCTCGTTATATTTAGTATTGTTATTACTAGAGGAATAGATATTTCTAGAGTTTTCTGTTGCGTGTTATAAATACGTGCAGATACAGTGAGAAGTTAAGTTAGTGAAAGAAAATGAAAGTAAAAGTGAAGTTAGACTTCGTGTGAATTAACCATAATAGGCGATTTCTAAAGTGTTTCACAGCTTGTATTGTAATAACACAAATAGAGAAGAATAATTTGTCTTTTCAAAGGGTGTTCTAAAATAATTGAACCCGCCTGTGTGGACTTTGATGAAAATAAGACAATTGTTTAAAGTTTTGGATACAACTGTGGTAACTAACAGTTGTAGTATTAATTTCAAAGTGAGTATCACAGATTATATTATAATAATACAGTAGAGAATAATAATTCGTCTTGTCAAATTGTGTTGTAAAGTAACCAGCCTATGTGGACTTTGACGAAAAAGAGACAGTTATTAAAAGCTCTGGATACAACTTAAGATAACTGATAGTGAAACGAATGTTTGTACATATGTTTGACTTGTTTTGAATATATTATTTCAAAACAAGTGGATTGTATGCTGTCCGTTTATTGTTGAAATTTATCGCCAACAATTCACAGACACCTACTGTAAAGAATCTGTCCCATACATATCTTAAAACCAATGAGCCATAGCTTAGAGATTATCTTCTTATAGGCTTAATGATTAAGTGTAATAGTACATATATGAAAATGGTATATGTTTTAAATAGGTAAATTCTTTGAATAATGCTGTTGTTGTATTATGTACCAGGATACGAATGAAACAAGAACCTGTTAAGTAGAATATATAGCTGCTGTATTTAGATTTCAAGTAAATAAATGTAGAAACATGGAATTACTATAAATTACTATATCTGTATACATCATTTTTTTCATGAGCACTTTGTATTTGTGGATAATCGCCATTTTTTATTAATATCTTAAGAGTTTCTTCTTGATCGAGCTCTTAATAAACTCGCATTATAAAATAGTGAATTTTTAAAATGATGGTATAAAGAAGTGTAAAAATCAACTGCCATCATTTGTTACTATTTCACTTCTTTTCTTTTTTCTTCCATAATGATATCAACTCCTCTAAAGTATTAACAACACGTTGGATCCATTACCACCAATAACAGAAATTGTTTCATTACTCTAGCGAGTAAACTCGTTCTTCGCATATGAATGGTATTTAAACTTTAGGACTAATTGTCGATTTTTAGTCTTCTGTTGTAATTTGTAGCCAGATGTAAAGGTATTGCGTTACTTACAAGCCAGGGAAAGGTAAATAATTAACTTAATTAGTTTCCATGTGTGTTTGTTTAAGTCGCTGGAGTAATCGTCTTTAAAGTTAATGCTATACACGTCGAAGTTTTGTACTTCGAACAGAACAATGCACGTTAAACGTCGTTCACTTTTGCACTCATATAAACGTAAAAATACCACTGTACAATTAACCAGTAGGAATATTGGATGTTTTTTTAGCCAATCGGGATATAAATGAATGAATATCCCGAAATGTAAAAGAAAATGTATTTAAGATTTGTGTATAAAAATCTATGAAGTACTGTGAAAGTACTCATATTTTAAAGTGAATTACTGTTGTACAACATGAAATGACTACCTGACACACTATTTATTAACATACGACAAAAAGAAAATTATTCTACACTATATACTTTTCTACACTACATTAATAATTTAATGGGCGAGTCAGAGTTTATTAAAGTAACTCAGACACTTAGCAGTATAGTTTATTAACAAATGTTACTTCCAGGCGATCTTCTTATCATCCCAGAAAAAGACTAGACACTGGACAATTTAGTGTAATGACACATGAAACTTCAAAGGAATTTTCTTAATGTCGCATTATCATTAATAACCAGACTAAACGATAAACTACAAAAGTTGCCCATATCATATTGTAATTCATGTTTACACGCACAGTAAATTCATAAGGTATCTTTCTATAGAGTATTAAGTTAGTTATATAATCATTAGTATTTTTGACAAAATATATCTGCACAGAGACTTAATACCTTATATCAAAACGATTTTGGACCCTCACCATCCATGTTGCCAAATCTGGTCATGTTTTATCGGACGACCGTAATACTTTGTAATAATCATGCAGTATAATTTCTATACCAAAGGGCTAATTCAAAAGGCTGTCGTGTTGACTAAGGCACACCATTCCTCTTTGTGAGAGTTTTTCATAAACCATCTAGTGTAGAAGTGTGACAGGTTTCCAACACCTGGTTCAACAGTCTGATCATACAGAAATCCATAGGCACTGCAACCGGTGATTTAACTGGTATATTATTATATGAAATATTCTGGATACCCATCTCATTCTCCAATTGCTCGAGATATTTCATGCTTGAATGGGAGATAGGAATGAAAGCCTTATCTTAATCAATCAATATTCTAGTGGTCTCACTTGTTATAAGGCCCATGGTTTGGTTCCCTAGTACCCCAATTTGAACCATATTCTTTTGCTTTGTTTTCCAATCTAGTTAATGTGACGGATTTATTGTTATTGTAAAATGTATTGTTGTTTGTATATTAAAAGAAACTGTGTGTATCAATCTTGTTGACAAATATCATAAATTGGATAAATATCGGCATTTATTTAACTACTAAATTTAATTTATC